GTAATCGAACACATTTGTGGAGTAGTTTAAATATGTTGGATTTTAAATATTGGATTTTAAACTGTCATACAATTTTTTTCATCGATAAACTGTAATTGGAACCATAACTCTTATTTATTCAAATTGTATTAATATGTAAAGATCAAATGTAACTTATATCATTGTTAAATCTTCTTTAATAAAATAAGTGAAACTTCAAAATCGTTAAAATTCATGGCCCCCGCTGCATTGCACGAATACACAACTAGTTATAAAAAAAATAAACTTATTGCTTAAATTTGTTATAGATATTATTTTCATCTAGATTTTGACGTAAATGGGTTCCAGATTTTAGTATTAGCAATGACTATAAAAGGGTTATTAAACAATTAACACCGTATTCTTATGTAACAATTGTTAATATAAATAACCATAAGGGTGATGTTTGATTGGTTTTAGCTTGGCTTCAATGATCAAAAGTACAAGAAGGTCTCAAATTTAAAGAGAAATAAAAATCCATTGTTGCTATGAAGGTTTAAATGCAATAACTCCGGACTATCTGCAAAATAGGTGATCGTCCTGAGATTAATCGATTCGTATAGTGGATTGAAAATCCTGGTTAATAATTTTTTTTTTGTTAATACAAATATAAATAAGAGAAACTTTGTTACAGGTAAGACAATAGGAGTTGTAGAATGGTCACGCCCAATTGTAGCATAAAACACTATCCATCCATAAATGCGGTAAGGCCTTCAGTAACCTTCTGACACGTGTCTCCACCTCCTGCCAAGCTTCCACGTATACACCCAATATACTCTTATATCATGACGCGTAGCAGACCAGCTGCCATCCTAATCCATTATAAAATTACACAAATATCCCTATAAAACCCTAAACTCGCCACCAAACCCTACATCAATAATCAACGGTGGCCTGAAAGTTCAGTTTTGATGAGTTAAAGTCAGATAGAGATGGCAGTTGGATTTCCAATATGCGTGCAGTGTGGGACTAAGAGCAACCCGTGCCGGTGCAAGGTGGTGGGTCCAACGGTTGGGTTCTTAGCATTTGCGGCGGCGGCCGTAGTGGAGTGGCCAGTGGGGGCGTTGGTGTACTGCTTCCGCCACATGAAAGGACGGCGTATCATGGCTCACCCTGCCACCGTCGTTTACCCCACCGTCAATAGAGCAATCCCTATTTAATCACTACTACGTACCTCTATGATCATCTATATATCATGCATGATCATGTTTAATTAAATAAAACTTGTATACCAAGAAACTTTTACTACAATTTCTTGGTATTCTAATTTCCCTAAATATTATTCCTTTATCTTCATAGGTGTAATAGCTTTGTTTCTTGATTATATATGAACTAATGGAAAGCATGTTTGTGTATATATATGCATCTTGATTAATTTTTTTTAATTATTCTAATAAAAAAAGGCGAGAATGCTATATATTGGAGATGTTACAAGATATGTCGGTCGATCAAAATTCAGATTGCACCAAATTTGATGGCTATTAATTAAGGGAAAGGCAAGAATGCTATATTGAAGATGTTATAAGATATGTCGGTCCAGAAAGCACCAAATTTGATGGCTATTAATTAAGAGAAAGTCGAGAATGCTATATTAAAAATGTTGGCAAGATATGTCGGGGAAGACCTCGATCCGTTGTTATGTACAAGATTGTCTTGATACTACTAAAGAAATTTGAGACATATGGCTTATTTATTTTTAATTTATTAAAAAAATTAAATACCATGTAATTGATTTGTTATAAGCTATATATAACTTACTGAAACACTATTTAAAGTAATGTTTACTGTAAAATCCAATAAGTTTTTTCATGTTTTTCACTTATGTTATTAATATTTTAATTAAATCACCAAAAACTCTTATATATTTTAAAAATAAAGTATATTACTGTCATTTATATTGGCCTTTCTGCTACTATTTAATAAAAATAATTGTTATGTTATTACATTATTATTCTATTAAAGCATCACAATTATATTTAACTAATTACAATAATAAAAATAATAGTTATTAATTATTTTTTTAAAATATCATTCAACATCGTAAACATATATATAAAAAGTAGTTGGCCAAACAAGTTTTAGTCGTAGACTCATAGTACCGTTAATGTCACAACTCATAATATACGAGAATTCATGTTAATATTGGAAATATTATATAGAATGTCCATCCAAAGTAGATAATTGAAGAACTCTTTACTTTTAATATTATAATAATAATTAATATGATGAAATATAATAATGTTTTATTTTAACTATATTATATAATATTAAAATTAAGTAAATTTCTATCGTGTCCAGATCTTCAAATCAAGATTTTTATAAATAAAAAGTGAACTGAATAGTAAAAATTACCATTGTCGAAAATTCTTATATAAGAACCCCATCCTCTATGACTAAGAATTTCATCCATTTTGAGTTCTTATAAGAATCTCATCTATTACAATAACTTTGGTTTTTACCATAAATTTTTTGTAAAGTGACAATTCCTAGTTTTATATATATATATATATATATATATATATATATATATATATTTTATTGATTTTATAATAATTATTGATGTTGAAAAAAATATACGGAACCCACAAACAAGAAGATTCTTATAAAAACTACTATTGTAGACTTTTATGTGAGTTCTTATGTTATGTTTGGAAAACTAGCTGATAAGGTAGCTGGTGATTGATAAGTTAGTTGATCACTGATAAACTATCTGATAAATGATAGCTAACTGATGACTGATAAACTAGTTGATAGTTAACTGACAAACAAATCATGTTTGACAAAGAATAGTTGATAAACATGTAAAATGACTAAACATAACATCTTGAAAAAATAGTCAATTACAATATTTAATAATATCAATTACAATATTTAATAATATAATTAAAACGAATATTTAATAAAATAATATATTAATACAAACAAAATATTAAATAATAATAAAAATAATATAATATGTGTAAAATATACATAAAGAGTATATATATAATTATATAATATAACTTAATTAAATATAATATATTATTAAATTAATTTGATTTGATGTTTTATACAATTTAGATATGGCACAATTTCCAACTCCAACTATTAACACCCCCTATTAAGGGGGTGTCATTAGCACCCCGTTAAAGAAAAGAGCACGAAAACGATCAAATCATATGTGATTTTATACTAGGTCAAACAAAGGTGTGCAGGCGACGTGACCTACAACCTCATGTCACAACCAAAGTCGCATGAATTACATATGATTTTTGCATGTGGTTTTAATGTAAAATCACATGTGATTCGACCATTTTCTTATTCTTTTATTTGAATACTTATTCTTCTTGTATGTAATTGACTTTCTCTTGACTCTCTCAATCTATATATCTATATCTATATCTATATCTATATCTATATCTATATATGTATATGTATATGGTGATCTCTGAAAGGTTGAAATGATGGTTTTCTTACAAGCTAAACTTCATTCTAGTTCTACTTAAGATGCTGCTTCAAAGGGTTAAGGTTCAGGCGGATGTAGTTGAAAATTTCATTTTTTTTTAGTTCACTGTCAAAACCCTTGCAGTCATGGAGGTTCACTTGCAATGACTCCAGACCATTCACGGTGACCTAGAGGACTAGTACAGTTACCCAAAAAGAAAAAGAAGGTTGTTGCAAGTTTTTTGAACCGCAAAAAGCATGGAGCAAATAAGAATAACCCAATCATAAGTTTATAAGACCAAATAATTATGTGTCTTATGTAAAAGCTTTACAAGTTTAAAGGACGTTTTTGGGCGTCCTTACAAGCTATTTAGAACACTTTTGAAACAAAGTTTATAGGACGTTTGTTCTTACAAAACATCTTTTTAGATAATGTCATATAAATGTAGTAATAGGACAATATGTATCAAAGAGTTCCCAAAACCTTATTGCAATGTACAGATTTACCTATGACATACAATTGTTTGGTACAATAAACTTAAGTCCTATACAACATAAATGAGCCTATTACGACATCAAAAACGTATTTGACATCCTACAAAGTGGGTTTTGTCGTAACAATAAAATTAACACTTTATATGATCGAGATTAAAAGACCATATTTGTGGGAATCCATGATGCTGCCTCAATTACCTCAGCCTCCTTATGTGATTACCCTCATAAGTTTCTCTCTTTTATTTATTTTTTTTATTTTTTTTTATTTTTGCATACCCAACTCATCTTTTTGGATAGGTATAGGTATTCCGGGTATTGTTTGGTTGGTTTTCCATCAATTCTTGTGTGGATAAAGTTGACTGTGTAGAATAATCTGTCTGTATGGATTTGGAAGGTTTTTGTTTGGAAGAGATTTTACATAGATGGAAAAAGCGTATTTTTAACTGGGGAAGGGACAATGAAAAAACTTGGTTTTCTACATAATTAAGAGGGTGTTTGGGATTGCTTATAAAAACAACTTATTGATTTATTCCGGTATGACACCAGTAATAAGCACTTTTGAGTGTTTGGATAAACAACTTATACCGGTGCCAAAACAGTAATAAGAAGTTTTTGAAGAAGTTAAACCCTTATGACTTATAATAAGTTAATAAGTGCTTTTATAGAAAAAAACATAAGTTGTTTCAAATAAGCAATCTCAAACACCCCTTAAATCTCCCCCTAAAAATCATGTATATATAGCTGACCAAATAATCATGTACATTTGACCAAATAAGTTGTGAGTCCCATCAATCTTGTTAAGATGCTAGCAAACATGCCTTAACCCTAACAAAGACAAAAGACGACCGTAAATTAAACATCTGCCCTAAATTGTTGTGAACGTCTAGAATAGAATCCAAGTCAGATGGCTTAGCTGCTATATAAGCCTAGCAGAGGGGTCCAAATCTATCTTCAGATTCGAACTTTAACCTGTTGTATATTGAAACAAAATCGTTCCACCCATTTGACAACTGAGCTATATGCGAGAACCCGAACTACACTTTATTATCTTCAATTTTTAATAGTGAGGTTAGACTTTACTTTGTGTTGGTTACAGAAGCATATACACACACACACACACAAAAGTCTGCAACTTTGTGTTCCCATTACTTTTGGTATAAAGTTTCATGTATGGTTTGAAGTGGATTACAAATGGATTCTTCTGAACTATATGCTTAATGGTTAAGATAAAAGGAATGGCATTATCCTTTTGGGAAGTGTAGTGAAAAGGTTGAATTTATGCTTGTCCTTTTCAGACATGTGCTTCTACACCTTGTTTAATAATGGATTATTTGTTAAAATGACTTCCATTTTTGGATCTCGTAAATACGTGTAACTCGTATGTATTCGAGCAAAAGGCTAATTACTGGCAATGGTCTTTTACATAACATGTTGGTCTCAGCCGGATCTACAAGAGTTATAGATATCACATGTCATTAGTTTGTGGTTTTTGTTGGAGATATCCACTCAAAAAAGAATCTTCCTTTAAACTGCAATAAAGCAGTTAGCCTGCAATTGCTTCTTTATCCAGATTTGGGAAAAAAAAGCAAAGATTCTCAAGCCTAATTCTAAGTGGGGTTTGCCATGGAAAAGCAATGGAAGTGAGCACCTCAACACCATACACATCAATCAACTTGACCTCTAAGAAACCATTGCAAGATTTTTTATTTTTTTTATTAACCTCGATATCCAACCTGTTATGCGAGTCGACTAATCCCAGGGTGACCATCTGTTTTGCAGATAATCCGAAGTCACCGCATTTGAACCTTAGTGGCCACAAAGAGATTTTTATTTCTCGTTGTATTTGAACCTGAGACCTCCTGGTACTTTTGACCTTTGGAGCCAAGCTCAAACCACTGCAAGAATTGACTACTGAAATAGTAGATCTTTCTAATCAGATTCATTTGTCATTTTCGGAACCAAATTCTCATTTTAATCTGAGTTTACGTGAATGAATACCTTATGTTGGTGTGATTTTGTACCAACTTCAAGTTACATATATAAAAACATGTCATTTTTGTTCAAATTTTGAGTGACATTTTGAATTTACGGGTAATATATATCATTTCTAAGGGTTTTTAATTTAATGGAATAAAACTTGTAAAAATTCAAATAATTAGACACAAAAAGTTTGTAATACAAACTTAAAAACCAATAACTATGTTTTATAATTAATTAATTAATTAAATTAATAATAATTAAATAAGTCGGTATCATAGTATTATCATGGTATACGACTTCCGATATCGTGTACCAACCAAGTTTGCATACTTGATACAGTACTAGCGTTGCAATTAACACCAATTGTTGATGCATATGTTGGTATGGTTTTGTTTGGTACAAAATTGTCACACCTCAATCTGTCCTTGTTCATAACGGAAATGACACACAATTTT